TATTAGTAAACCAGACCTCTGAGTGCCTGCTTTTAAACCTCGTTTGTAATACAAAACAATTACTGTAGCACTCAGTTGAAGTTCTCTTACAATAAACATTCCACTAGACAACACACAGGATATTATAGTGCATACACATCCAGTTCCTCAGACTTTCTTGAACCGGTTCTGTGGAAAGCAAAAAGTCTGGCGACACTCGCAGTGTTCTGAGCATCGGAAATGCAAAGATAAAAGACCAGCGCATTTCCGCATGAAGCCTTCATCAGGGTTTATAGAATGACGCCTCAGTCTAGAGCTAATCGGTGCACAAGCCAGCTAAAAATATTAGTACTATCAGCAAATCTTTCTTAAAGTATCAAAGGTAAAATGACCTATTATGTATTAGGATATAATTACAGACATATTAACATCTCAGCATGATTTTAATGTTGTAGTACACTATGACATTTTGCCAATCCCGGCCAGCAATCGGGCGAAGGCGGGGTACACCCTGGACAGGTCGCCAATCCATTGCAGGGCTAACACATAGACGAACAACCACACACACTCCTATGGGCAATTTAGAGACACCAATCAACCTAAGCTGCATGTCTTTGGACTGTGGGAGGAAGCCGGAGTACCCGGAGAGAACCCACGCAAGCACGGGGAGAACATGCAAACTCCGCACAGAAAGGTCCCAGGTGGGGCCCGAACCCAGAACCTTCTCGCTGTGAGGCAACGGCGCTAACCTGTGCCACCGTGCTGCCCTTATAATGTAGTCTTAAGATTTAATTTCATTTATGTAGTGCTGATGTGGAACATATTCCTACAAAAAGCAGCTTCAAACTAGATGACACACAGAAAAGCTTGGCCTCTGGAACAGCTAACAGTGCAGCCCAGTATTTATTCTCACCTTTCAGAAGCCACACCCAATATGCCTTATGTAACAACATTTTACATCTACATTATTCACATTCATCAGTCCACTCCTGCAGCAAACTTGCCTTGATCAAGAATAGTTCTCCTCAGAAAACCACAGCCTGCCACTGCATACCCTTTCACCACTGTTTATGTTAGTTTCTCATTGTATGGTAAACAAATGTTTCAAGTACATTTAAAAGCGGGTTAAAATTTAAAGTCCTTGGACTTGGTTGCTGAAAGGACTCACAAGGCAAGCACCAGAAATATTTTTTATTATTATAAGACTTCACTGTAATTTATGTTTTGTCTGTATCCTCTGTGCAGCGTTCAGGCAGAGATAACCTGTCGGCCAAGTCATCAGACAGTGATGTAAGCGACGTGTCCGCTGTGTCGAGGACCAGTAGTGCCTCTCTGTTCAGCAGCACGAGCTACATGTCTGTCCAGTCTGAAAAGCCGCAAGGAAACCGCAAGATCCGGTAAGCAGATGTCCACGCCAGGGGGCAGGGACCATCAGTCTGCTCTCTGAACTCCATCCAGCTGTTATCAGGAATGTACAAATCTCCCTCAGCTGTGAGCTTGTCTTTGCATATATATGCTGCCATGTCCAGACGTTTTCAATTTTGAAACTGTTTGCACCTGGTTAAACCTAAAGAGGAAAATGCACCCGCTAGGGCTGTGTGTCATCTTCTCACTGAGTTCAGGTTTGGCTCTGTTTTAGAAAAATCTGGAACCAAATGGTTGAACTCTGCTCTTTCAGGCTGTGGGAGAAGCTTGTCCAGAACTGGTAACATGCACAGAAAGAGAAAACAAATCACTTCTCTATCAAAGCAAACAAAAAAGTAATCCATTTGCATAGCACTTTGCTACAACTCCACATATCTGTTTTCATTTGCTTTGAATCAGTCTTGCTCTTGATCTTGGCTGCACTGTGTCTCTGTGTTTACCTCATGTTGTTGACATCGTTCATGCTTTTTTGGTTTTCTTTCTGCTTTGCATGTGCTGCTGTCTTTGCTTCTGTCTCCACGTTCAGCCAGTTGCATTCAAGGAGCCAGTCTCTGGAGGGGGGTGAGCAGTTAGGAGAGGTGCAGGAGGAAGAGGAGGTGGGATGGGGAGGAGGAGAGGCAGGGAGAATGGCCATGAAAGGGGGGATATCGCAGGTAGGGAGTAAGGGAGTAAGGGACCAGGAGGAAAGGTAGATACAAACAGGGAGCATCAAGAGGATTATTTGGAGAAAGAAGAAGACTTGCACCAGAGGAGAATCTCAGAGGCTGACTTCAGGTAACACCTGTGTGGGAGTCAGTAACTGTAGACTCTTACTAACAGCAGTAATTCACCTATAGCTCCCAGTGGCCACCTGATGTTTGCACATTCATACGATGATGTGCAAAGCAGTGTGTGGTGACTGTCCTCCGCTCTTGAAGCCTGATAATTACCTAATTGTGCTCCTGTTAACCTTCATTGATGCTTAAGTAGAAACACATTTCTGTTTTCTGTAGTGAGCCAACAACAGTTTGGTAACCCATGCAGCCGTTTCATTATTAATAGCACATAAAATGGAAACAGAAACAGTACAGCAAGCATTCAGCAACTAACTTAACACCCTCTGAAAATCTCAGCTCAGCTGACCACCAGCTGTTTTACTTCTCACCTTCTTTCAGTGATGAATAGGTATACTCTAGGACCTCATGAAGACTGCTGGCAGTGATTGCAGGTTCAAGAGATCACACTTCTGACTGTACCTGTGTTTTTCTACAGTGGCTTCAGAAAGTACTCACTTATTGCTTTGTAGTTTCATTTTTAATGGAGACAACTGCCATTTTGCCCACTGATCTACATTCAGCTACCAGTAATATCAAAGTGAACAGATGTTTTTAGAATTACCATCCATCCATCTTCATCCACTTCATCCGAGACCGGGTCACGGGGACAGTAGTGCGAGCAGAGCCTCCCAGACTTCCCTCTCCCCGCACACCTCCTCTAGTTCCTCAGGAGGGACCGAGGCTTTCCCAGGCCAGCCAGGAGACATAGTCTTTCCAACGTGTCCTGGGTCTGCCCCGAGGCCTTCTCCCAGAGGGACATGCCCGGAATACCTCCCCAGGGAGGCGTCCAGGGGGCATCCGAAACAGGTGCCTGAGCCACCTCAACTGGTTCCTCTCAACGTGGAGTATTGTATTCAGACCCTTCACTGTGGCACTTGAGGTCAGGTGCATCCTGTTTTCTTTAATTCTTCTGGAGTTGACTGCTCAACCAAACTGAGTAACTGGGCAAAAAGGTCCTTGGTCAGGGAGGTGAGCAAGAACCAAACAGTTACTCTAACAGAGCTCCAGAAGTGCTCTGCAAGGATGGTAGTCTGCTGGCAGGACATTCATCTCAGCAGCTCTTCATCAGTCAGGCCTTCATGGTAGAGGGACTACACAGAGGCCACTTTGAGTGAAAGGCCTGGTTAATAACATCCTTATGTGGTGACACAATGATGCTGCAGTGGGGTCTGGGTGGGGCTTCCCTGCAGCAGGGACACAGAGACTGGTCAGAATTTAGGGATATAGCCAAATACAGAATGAGATCTTTGCATAAAACCTGCTACAGAGTGCACATGACCTGAGACTGGGCAGATGGTTCACCTTTCAGCATGATGGTGACCTGAAGCACACAACCAAGACACTGCACAAAGTCTCTGAGTGGCCCAGACAAACCTCAGACCTAATCCCCAGAGAATATCTGTGGAGAGACCTAAGGATGGCAGCTCACTGTTATTCCCCACCCAGTCTGACAGAGCCTGAGAGGATCTGACAGAAAGAACCGGATAAAACTGCCCAAATCCAGTTGTGAAAAACTTGTGGTCTGAATGCTTTCTCTAGCCACTGTATGTAGAGGTGGGAGTGGAGGTTCAGAGGGTAAGTGGGGCAATAAGAAGAGAAACTGTGATGCTACTCATAACAAGAACAAGATATTGATTCAAAATAATAAATCAGAAAAGGGGTTTTGTCCTCACTACAATACAGTAAAGGAGAAGGGAATTTTCGACATACACTGAGAAAATTTAAATATTAAAATTTAATTTGTAAGAAATTGAACATATTTTCCTGGTTCCTCAGACTACTAGAGAGACCCCTATAAACAGATTTTATTGAAGACTTTTTCCAACATTGAGAAAACAGTGTAGTGGTTACTGTCAGTTATCCTGGCAAACCAGGACACTGCCTCTACACACACATACTGTTGTTTTTGAGATTCAGTGTTTTGAAAATGAAAACAAACAAAATATCAAGATGGTACAATCAGCATGAATGGAATATTGATTCACCTCCACTGTTTTAGGGTGGAGACAGACATCTCAGAGATGGAAAACTCAAAACCTTGGTGAATAAAAGCAAACCTACATATCTGCCTGGTGAATTACCACTCGGTGAAAGTGAGGGACAAGTAAAGATTGTTTCAAATATACCCATAGTAAAGACTGTGATGTTAGAATGAACACACTCTTTTCTTCGTGACACTAAAGGCACACAACAATAAAAATGTATTGTTGCTCTGGTGCAAACTGATAATTCATGTATTGAAATCTTTCCTTTTGAAGTTCATGCTTGCAGAACACTTTGATTCTAACATGTTAATGTAACACTTGCCAAGTGTTTAGACAAGGAATTATTAATCTCTAAGAGCCAACTAGCTGGAATAGGTTCGGCTACTAGAGCAATGTGTGGTGTTCAAATGAATCTCACAAACCATATGTTTGAACACTTTCTTACTGTATTTGAACGTGTGCACATATACAAAACAATTTAGATAACTAAAATAATGAAAAATATGGAAACTGAATAAACCAAAATAACAAAAGCTTAACCTTGTTAAGTCTTTTTTCTCTTCACAGACCAATATCAAAAAAATAAGTAATCCTTCCTCCTTGTGAGGAACAAGTAAATCTTGAATAATGGTTTACTTAGGATACGTTTCCTTTTTATGTCTGCAATATCATAGGGTGCACCCAATCTAAATCTGGTATCCAATGTGGAGTGGAATCCAGTTGGATAATTTTCAAATCCAAATCCTTTTCGAATCAATCAACCATACAAGAATCCAAAGTTTACAATACTGGTAACACCATAATAACATTGTCTCTTCAGTGCATATACAGTTTCATCAGTACTAAAGTAGTTCAGTCCAAGGAAACAATAAAAGTCAAATCAACACTCCAGAAGTCCAAATAAGTCCAGTCTCGGTATGATGATGAAAAAATATACTGCACCAGAAGGCGTATTTGAATCCTTTGTCCACCACAC